TCTATGGTGCGGAGATCGTGTCGGCCCTGGACTACCTGCACTCGGAAAAGAACGTCGTCTACCGTGACCTCAAGGTGGCCGGGCGGCGGGTGGTGGGCACGGGCGTGGGCTGGGGCCCAGGGGGGCGGGGGCTGGCCCGCGGCCAGGGCCGACCGGAGGCCTCTTCCCCGCAGTTGGAGAACCTGATGCTGGACAAAGACGGGCACATCAAGATCACCGACTTCGGGCTGTGCAAGGAGGGAATCAAGGACGGGGCCACCATGAAGACCTTCTGCGGGACCCCCGAGTACCTGGCCCCAGAGGTGTGCGCCTGCTGCCTGCCCTGAGCCCCCAGCCCCTGGGTCCCGGCCGCCTGTGACCCTGCCGTGTCCCCCAGGTGCTGGAGGACAATGACTACGGCCGCGCCGTGGACTGGTGGGGGCTGGGCGTGGTCATGTACGAGATGATGTGCGGCCGGCTGCCCTTCTACAACCAGGACCACGAGAAGCTCTTCGAGCTGATCCTCATGGAGGAGATCCGCTTCCCCCGCACGCTCAGCCCCGAGGCCAAGGCCCTGCTGTCCGGGCTGCTCAAGAAGGACCCCAAGCAGAGGTGAGTTGCCCTGCTGTCCCCAGGGAGCGCGCCGGGCCGTCTCCAGGCCACCCCGTGGCTCTCGTGTGATGTCCCCGACCAGGACTGGCCCAGGCAGAGGGGCTGGGTCAGCCGGGGCCCCTCACACGTGCTCGGGACGACCCCACCCCTCCGGCACCTCCTGCCCACCCAGCATTCTGTACCTGCTGGGGCTCCGCCAGAGAGCCGTGCGTCCCCCCTGCCCTGGGACCTGTCCCCACTGTACTGTCCTCACTGGCCCGGTCCCCGCTGTCCAGCGCTGTCTGGCAGCCCGGCCTCACCAGCGGGAGAGGGGCAGGCGGGAGGCCTGCGCCCTGGGGGCGGGGGGTGGTGCCATCACCAGGTCCTGTGTGCTCTGCAGGCTTGGAGGGGGCTCGGAGGACGCCAAGGAGATCATGCAGCACGGCTTCTTTGCCAGCATCGTGTGGCAGGACGTATACGAGAAGAAGGTGCACACCCAGCGCTTACACCCGCCTGCTCAGTTACCCACGCACCCACCCACACACCTACCCCCCTACGCTGACTCACACACCCGCCTGCTCACGCCCATATGCACCCCCCCTCCCGCACCCTCCCGGGGCTCAGAGGCTGCACCCCAGTCCTCCTGACCGCTGCGCAGAGTCCCCCCTCTTCCTCCCAGGAGGAGCTGTGTGCATGTGGTTTCCCGCGAGCGACGCCTTGTCAGGTTTGGGCCCTGGGTTCCCTGCCCTGGTGCTCTGAGCTAAATGCTGGCGGCAGAGTGGGGGGTCCCACCTGCTCTCCCAGTTCCTCGCGTGGTCTGACCTCAGTCCCTCACGCTGCAGGGAACGCGGGGCTGACCTCTGGGCTGTGGGATTGGGATCACACCCGCCTGTCTGGCTCTTGAGGGGGCCTCCCAGGAGCGAGTCGGCTGCTTCCCGCACACATCCCTCTGGGGAACCCTAGGCGCCCCAGGCCCCTGTCCAGGCTGGTGTGGTGGCCCCACAAGCTGGGAAAGGCAGTACCTGGGTGTGCTGGGCACCGTCAGCAAGCGTGCTCCTGTTCCATCTCTAGCCCGCCCCTCCCCTGTGGGTCCATCGAGGGCCACACGTGGGCGGCTGGGCCTGTCTTCCCTGCGAGACAGGGGACCCCCACCCCTTGAGAGGTCTTCTACCTCTTGGCCCTGCTCTCCGAGGGCTCAACTCCTCCAGCCTTGACCCAAGACTCCACTCGCTCCTGAGGGCAGCCCCACGCCTGGTCTGGGAAATTTTGGGGGGCTTACCTGCAGCACCCTCTCCCCATGTGCACATCCCTTTACAGTTACCCCTGTGTCCTGGTGAGTCCTCTGCGGACTCAGTGAGGCCACGCTGTGATCCTTGAGCCATGCCTGAGGCTGGGCAGGCCCCACACTCAGCACTCCCCTATCCCCCCCCCTCCAAATGGGAGTCCTGAAGGGCCAGGCCCAGAGCCAGCTGGGACAGAGGAAGCCCAGGCCCATCATCTCCCGGGTGGGAAGTTGCAGGAGGCCTTAGGAGCCCATGTGTTTTGGGGGGCATGTCAGGGTGGGGCTTGTGCAGAGCAGTTCCTCTTGTGCCCCAGGGCACCTGGCTGGGGCTGGCATGGGTGGGCACGAGCACTGGCCACCTACTCTTTGGGCCCCTCCAGGGCTGTGGTGGGTCCCCTGAGCCCTGCCCTCCACTTGGCTGGCATTGGCCTCTGCTCCCTGGGGCCTGGGGGAGGCAGGGCTGCCACTCACCAGCCTGGGTGGGTGGAGGGACTGTGGGGATGTGACTGTCCCCTGCATCACGAGTTATCAAAGTGGAAGCCCCCAGCAGCTGGGCTGAGTGGGACGGTCAGGGAGGGGTATGAATGGCACCTGGGAGGGAGCCCCCCCTGCACACCTCGTTCCATGGTGTCCTGTACCCCTTCCCAGTTCATGAGAAAACCCGAAAGTGAAATAAGAGCTAGAGGAATGGACTCGCCCCCTTCTGCCTGGGAGTGTGTGTGTGTGTGAGGGGGCGGGGTTCAGAGCTGGGCTGCACTGCCTCCCGTCACCTGCAGGGGCTGCTGAGCCAGGCTCGCCCTGTCCTTGGCGGAGGGGCCGTCCGGTGGGCCTAGACAGCCGCCCTCCTGGGGGAGTCTCCTTCCTAGAGCTCTGTCTGGGTGGGTGACAGCTTATACTTCCTGGAGACAGTGCAGTGGGCTCAGCTCCCTGGGGCAGTGCAGAGCCAGCCTGTGACCTGCCCCCATCCCCGCCCACAGCTCATCCCGCCCTTCAAGCCCCAGGTCACATCGGAGACCGACACCAGGTATTTTGACGAGGAGTTCACAGCCCAGATGATCACCATAACGCCGCCGGACCAAGGTGAGGAGCCACATCCTGCCAACACCCCTCCTGCCAGGGAGGCCTGCGGGCTCAGCTCTGATAGGAAAGGTCCCCTTTGGAGGGTATTGATCAAGGCGGGAGGGCCACTGTCCCTCTGCCCCTAGCACTGGAGGGTCGGGATCACGGAGTCCAGAGCCTCAGGGGCCTGCCTGTTTTCCTGGATGCTTGGCCCTGAGTCTGAGCCACGTCTCCTGCCTGCCCACAGACGACAACATGGATTGTGTGGACAGCGAGCGGAGGCCCCACTTCCCACAGTTCTCCTACTCGGCCAGCGGCACGGCCTGAGCAGGGCCAGCCCAGTGGGCTGGTGGACACCGAGTGGTGGCTACACCGCCGGATGCCAGCTCCGTGGATTGGGGGAAGCCTGTGCGGACGACCTGTACCTGAATGTTTTTCTTTCTGGATGCGTTTGGAGGAACCACACTGCTCCGAGCATGTGTGGGAAGATTCGTGCTGTGGGCAGGGCTCGCCAGCCACTCGGAAGGTTGTCCTGCGGTTTTTCTTAATTTATTTCATCCAATTTTCCAGACGTGGTCTCGCCTTCAGACGAGAGTCACGTAGGAAATGCTGAGGACTTCTGCAGCCACGTGCAATCAGGGGTCCGGGTGGGCCCTGCCCGCGGCCCCTCAGTCCCTCTCGCCAGCTGTCCCTGGCTGTCACCTGTCCCCACCCAGCCCGGAGGCACCAGAAGCAACCCAGTTGGGGTGAGCTTGCCTGGCTTCCTCTCCCTCAGGTGGGGCAAACGGCAGCCCCAGTGCAAAGGCGAGGACAGTGGCCCTCAAGATGGGCCTGGGGCTGGGCTGAGGTTCGCCCCTGAGACAGCAGCAGGTTGGAACCTGCTGCTGTTACGCTGTTCATGTGCATTTGGGGGTCTAATCTTAGAGGAGAGCCCCTCCCCACCCCTTCTTGTCCCTCGGGCGTCCCACCCTGATGGCTTCCCCTGGTAGCATCTGTCCTCTAGAAGCTTCACCCTCCGCTGCCCGGCCTGACGCCCTGGAGGGGCCGTCACTGCGTCGTCCGCGCCTTGCGCTGCACCATGGCGTTTTTTTACATTCAACTTTAGTATTTTTACTATTATGAGACTTTCCCTCCAGATGCCTCAATAAAAACGGCTTTTCAACTTTGTGGCTTGTTTTGCTTGTGGGGAGCACTCTCCTTCTGGCGGAGACCCCAGGACAGCTTCTGAGGGAAGATGTCTCCCCACCAGCTCCCACAGGACTTGCAGGGGGGGTTACCCTGGCTGCCCCATGCTCATGGGTCATCTGACCATCAGGAAGGACCCTGCAGGACCCAGAGCTGGCCAAGGTCATGTGGGGCTGAGGGTGTCCAGTCCCCCCGCCCAAGCAGAGCAGCCCAGCAGGGTGTGCTGTGGGCGCCACCTGGTGGCGAGGAGAGGAGCCAGCACCTAGCAGGTAACAGGACCTGGCTCATCCGGAGTGGGTGCCACCTGCAGGGGTGCCAGGACGCCTGGACGTGTATGGGGCCTGGCACCTGTATCCTGAATCCACGTGTGCCTGGGGTGGGGGACAGTCCAGGCCTGGGCACGTCAAGTAGTCCTAGTCCTCTGGGTGGCCCCTGTCCCCTCAGTTTTCACATGCTGAGTGTCACATCACAGCAGTGACAACAGGCACAGCTTCTCTGTAAGCCACAAACAGCAAAAGCCACACACGATGCTCTGGCGGTGAGGCCCAGGTTTCAGATAATGACCATGTGTGTCACACGGGACCCTGTGAGCCGTGAACAGTGGAGGAACCTCAGGCAATTAACACATAGCAACCGCCACCCCAGCAACCTCACTTCCTGGCATACACCCCAAAGAACTGAAAGCAGGGGCTCCAAGAGACATGTGTACTCCTATGTTCACAGCGGCATCAGTCTCAGCAGCTGAGACGTGGACGCAACTGTGTCCACAAGGAGGGACGGATAACCCAGTGTGGTCGACCCACACTGTGGAGTGTACTCAGCCTTAGGAAGGACGGACGCGCCGACACCTACAGCACAATGGACACAGATGGACCTGAGCACGTCACGCTCAGTGAAATAAGCCAGACACAGAAGGACAGACACTGCGTGACCACTCACACAGGTCCCGGATATAAGGAGTCAGACCCACAGAGACAGTGATGGTGCTGTTGGGCTGGGGGAGGGGTTAGGGATTGACGGGGACAGAGGCTGTTTCACAGGATGACAGGCGTTTGGAGAGGATGGTGGTGATGGGAACATAAGTGAATGTGCTTAATGCTGCTGAGCTGTGCACTTAACAGTGGGGAAGACGGCAAGTTTTGTATTTTCACACAATTAAAACCTAGCTACACCCACCCATTATTCTCAGACTTTGAGCACATGGCCACCAAGAGCGGCAGGTGCAGTATGAAAATGGGGAGGTGCCTTCAAAGCTGGAGCTGGGGTGTCAGGTGGGGGCCCAGCTGGCCAAGCTGAGGGTGCCATCTGCTCCTTCCCACCGGACCCTCTTTTGTGATGGGGGAGGGATGCCTTAGGGATACTTCCACGGCCAGGAAAGGCTTCAAGGTCATGGGCACGGACACAAGCATGACCTCACTTTGTCCCCATCCCAGGGGGGACAACTGCAGAGCTATCTGGAGAGAGCAGCTTGGGGTGCCAGGAGACAGGCACCTCAGAGAGGTAACTCCTGGGCGCTGTCCTGCCTGGCTAACAAGGCCCGAGCAGGCAGGGAGTGGCACGCCCTGTGGGACAGCGAGGGCCAGCAGGACTGGGGTCCTTCCCGTGTCCCACCCAAACCTGCTCTTCCCTCTCAAGGCTGCCTTAGGAGGGGCAGGAAGTGGAAACAGGCTGATCTTTAGCACTGGGACTGCCACGACTGGGCAGGTGTGAATAAATGAGGCCCCCAGAGGGTGTGTGATGGCGGCATCTCAGGAAAATCTGGACTTCGCCCTCCCCCCGAGGTACTGGCACAATGGTCAGACGACCTGGGTCAAAGCCTTTCTCACTAAGATTGGCTGGGTGGCCTTGGTTTCCCCACCTGTAAGGTTGGGTGACAGACATGCACCTCGCAGGGAGCTCAGTGAGCACTGAATGAGCTGCCAGAGCAACATGGGGGTCCTAACTCCTCTGGGGGCCCCTCCAGCACACGGCCTGTCACATGACCAGGAGGCAGCACCCCCAGGACTGTTAAAATAAGCAGTCCTCTGGTCAAAATATATAGGATTTATTCATTGCCACCATGAGTACAAATATCAAACAAAAAGGCTGCCCCCCCCACCCCCCC